GGTTCAAAACATGGGTATTTGTTCTAGACTGTGTACCCAAACGGACAACTCGAGTCGAGGAGAGGGCTACGTACCGGGGACCGGAAAGATCATCCGGCTTAGTAACTTGTCCGAGCCACTTTCTTATTTCAAGGTATGACACTAACAGAATAGGGAGTCTCGACCAACGAGCACATCCCCGAAGATAAGAGGACAAGGGTTTCGTAACAGTTTATATGTACAGTTCAAATAATATCAAAGCGGTAAAAGCATCATTTTGCACATTAAGCCCAACATGTAAAAATATCAAATAATAAACAAAGCCAAATACAACAATTATTCTAAGCTCGAATTCTTGAACCCTGAACCAAAAGTTTTGGGTTCATGTCCCCAGCAGAGTCGCCAGAGCTATCACACCTCCTTTTTCCTTACTACACCCCGTGAAGGGTATAATAAAAGGAGTTTTTCCAATTAAAGGACAATCGAAACGGGATTTATTTAAAAGATTCAGGTCGCCACTTGGGAGATTTATGGTATCCCAAGTCACCGGTTTGAATCCCGAGTCGAGGAAAAGGTTGACTCTGTTTAACAGTCCGTGACCAGAAATCCGGGAGAAGGTGTTAGGCATTCCCGAGTTCCGTGGTTCTAGCACGGTCGCTCAACTGCTATATTCGGCTTAATTATCTGATTTAAAACAACTTTAAACCTGTGTGCAAATTTTAACTTTTAGCCGCTTTTATTATTATTTTTAAAGAGAATTGCAACGTCGTTAAAACACGTCTCGAACCACGTCACATAAATGCACCCGTGGTTTTTGACATATTCTAACATCGTTGAGATTTGGATTTGGGTCACATAAATGCGCACCCGAATTTAAGAAAGTAGTATTATTAAACTAACGCACCTAAAGCTTTTCGCGTTTGCAACTTTGCGAGGGCCGTGGAATTTAACTAAACGGCACGCCTCGAATTCTAAAGATCAACTCAAAAGCGAGTAAAGTGAAGGCCATGCAATTTGTCATTTTTGTTTGGCACGGCGCACCTCGAATTAATTTTAAAGGAAAAGAAATGTATTTAGCTAAGGCAAACTTTATTATTCCTATTTATATCTAAAAAAAAAACTAAACATCACAATCACGGGAACCATACCCGTCATTGTAATAGTCCTATTGTGCACCTACAGGTCCGCCTACCTATGAAATACCAACAATTTAGACTAAGCTTGCATCCAGTAGTCTTATAAGAATCCATACGGTCCAATTCCAAAAGAATGGGCCAATTGATCATAGTAGCCCATTTCCTCATAAGTCAAAATCAGAAACACACACTGAATTTACTTGCCTAACGTCGAACTTGACAGCCCAAAAATGTTACCAAATCACTATTTAACATGAAAAGAGAAAAGAAAAATAAAAAATCAACAAACGAAAATCTACCCAGGCTTGAAACAGCATATGCATACCAGTTATTGCAATCTCATGTGGAAATTTCTTTCTCAAAGGAATCAGCGAGGCAATATTAATCTAAAGGACATTGAACACTCCAACGGAATAGCAACAGACCAGGCTAGAAAGCAGATGAAAATTGACAGAGACATAGAAATAAGGGAATGGAACGTTAGCAATAACAGAGGGAGGCAATCGTAAAAAAGAAAAAAAAACAAGCAGCAAGAACTCGACGAAATTCAGTTTACGAACACCCCAAAATCAGCTGGAAACTGCGGCTGAAACTAACCCAGAACCAATCCAAAAATAGCCTCCAATATGTTCAACAGTATTCTGTCCAAAAAATTATTTTAACAAAACAGATTTCGGATCGTTTTTTAATCATATGAATCGAGCTTGAAGCTAACAAATCAGCAACCACCATTCGAGCACTCAACTCCGCCTTGACAAACGTCACTTCTAGACCTATTCTGACCTCTTTTAACCATTAAAACACAGGACAACTAACGGTTCCTACCATCACGCTGAATCAACAAAATGAGTTTGGTTCATGAATAGTCTATGCATAACTTCACTGAAAGAAAATTTGAACAAAACAGAAATCCCTATTGGAAGCAATGCTGGACGACAGTAGGTATGTATGCAAACTGAATTTGTGACATCTCATTAAAGCACTTGGACGATTTCAACTTAAAACTTCAGCTTCAAGCAATCAGTTTAAAAGAAAGATCAATTAGAGGCAAATAGAAGAAAGCAAGAGCCAATTTCTTTTGCTGATTGAACATAACTAACTTCATGAGATTATGGTATCATTTCAAGCGATAAAAGCTTATTATTGTCATAGAATTACAACCAAATAAGATGTTCTCACAGCAATCCAGACTCAACCATATTAAACCTCACACCTTGAAGTCGAAAGCACTATACAAGTAGTAAAAGTCTCATGAAAACTTGATAAGAGAGCAACTTTCAACCAACTTTCCTTTCGAACTTAAGAATGAGCTGACCAAAATCTTATAATCAACAAAGAATCTTTACACATGGCTACATCAATTTCAGCACACAGAAAGCCAAGAAATTCAATTCAGATCCTGTTTTGCAGGAACTAAAATAGCTAAACTTCAACACAATTAATCAGTTGCCTTATAAGTGAGTAACAGATGCCAAAGCAAGATCCAAACATGACATTGAATTCCAGATACCTATCCATTTCAGCAGATTACAGTGACCCTTTCAAATTTAGACCTTCAACTTCAGTTCCTTAATGCAATATGCTCAGCCTTTAACAACTGAAGAAACTAAGAACAAGTTGCTGTGTATTTTCAGAAGAAAACAAACCAGTTGGAACATCGACAATCATGCATACGACTCTACCAATTTGATTATGACCTAAGTATTCTAACATTGAAAGGTACTCGTACTGGAAAATCAGAGAACCAAACAGAAAACCACGAGAATATGCATCGATGATTACGACTCATTCAACAATCTTGAAGCCGAACAGATCTCCCATTTCAACTCGAGAAAATCTTAACCCACGAGATACTTCAACACCATACTAACAGCTAAAAACATTCAAGGCATAGAAAACGACCATTCAAATTCAACTTTTACTAACTGAGCATACTTAAATTCATCACACCACTGAGAATGGATTTATTCAACAGGAAATTCGATCATAGAACCATTCGATACAGAATGCACATCTCAAAAACATTTTCTAAAAAAACAGAGTTACACAGTGAAAAGGAGATTCGAACCTGAAGTTGCAAACTCCTGTTAATAACTACAGCCTTAACAGTACGCCTTTCGCATTCGAATACGAGCGAGGTTTAGCAGCAACTCAGCAGAACAACAGCAGAAACAGAGCTCGAACTTCAATTTGTATCTTCCAGGAACTCAAATCCGGATTCCGAAATCAAAAAATGTATATATGTTTTTCTTAAACTTTTAAAAGAACTCGACCAAGAAGAAAGAAAACCCACTCAGAAAAACCATAAATTCCAGAAATCTTTTCCACTTATTTTTTCCAAAATCCAACCCCCCTCAGTGATTTTTGTTGTTCCAATATCAGAAACGAAAGAACGAATAAAACCGAGAACAATCTCTCAAATTCATTTCCGAAAAATCTCTCCCACTCTGAAATTTTTCCTGCCCTCTCAAAATCGGAACAGACCCTATTTGAAAACGAATTCCTTGATGAATGTGGGGCTCGGATTGAGTGAAATCAATCCAATGCCTCACACTCATCCAGCGAATCCGCCTCCAGAACTTCCAATTGTGAGATATACCCAATTCGAGCGAGTGAGAGGGGAGAGGAATCTCGCGTCAGAAACCGTTAGCAACGACAAGATGAGAGAAGGAGGGACGCGTGGGTTAAGGATTTGGGATTCACTCGCCCGAATTTGGACTGTATTAGGGTTGGATTCGAGTGAGGAGGATGAAGGAACAATACGCGTTTAGAGATTAGGGATTTAGGCTTGGGGAGTCTCCGTTCGCGTGTGTATTAGAGAATGGGTCGGGTTTGGAGGGTATCTGGGCCGGGTCTGAACGATAACTTACTGGGGTGGGGTCTTTGAGTGGTATTGGACAGGTTTAGGGGTGGATTTGGCCCAAATTTTGTTCTCATTATTCTTTTTCTACTTCTTTTCTTTTTAATGCCATTTCTTTTATTTTCCAAAATTCTTTTCTTTTTTTTTTTCAAAAATTAAAAATAACACCTAAATTAATCCCTAAATCAACTTAAACATAAACACTAATCAAATCTAATAAAAATTATCACAATTAATTAAAAACGAATTAAAGAGAAAAATTACTCAAAATCAAAATCAAAAATGCAAAGGTGCAAATTAAACTATTTTTGTGATTTTCCTTTTCTATAAAATAACTAATTTACTAGTTAGTCCAAGAATTGTAAAATTAAATCCTACATGCAAATGCAACATATTTTTTTGTATTTTTTCATTAATTAAACAAAATAAAATGCGCAGACAAATGCAAAAATGCCACAAAAATCCACAAAATTGCAGACCCTGGAAAAATGATTTTGTTTTGAATTTATGGGAGTAATTCATATAGGGCAAAAATCACGTGCTCACAGTTATGCCTATAAATTATCTCTAATTACACGTTATTTATAAGCTCAAAAGAGATTGTTTAATAGTTCTAAATTTTTAGGTGAGCAATTATTATGTATACAAAATAAAATAAAGAAAAGATGAAAGATAGAGGAAACATTTTGCTTGTTCGTTTATTCCAATTCTAATTAAATTGTAAATGCTCTGAGTAGTCTATGTGAGATTGGTATATTGATTATTAATTTTATTCTTTGGTTAATAATTTGCTTAGATATAAATATTACTATACATTTTAAAACATAATTAAATATATAATTACAAAAATATTTAATAATAGCAACGAGAAAGAAAAAAGAAAAGTGATTGATAAGTCATTTACACTAACGCTCCGACAAATATAAAGGGTAAAAGTTCAAATATTCATCATTTGAAAATAGGTTTTTGTGCGGATAAAAACTGTTACAAGGAAATATTTATCTATACATAATTTATTGATGGGTGAAAAAAAAAAAAAGGTAACTACATTGCCATCCATCCATGCCAAGTCTCGCTATCCCCTCAATAATATATCCAACCCTAGATTTTTGCCGCCATCGCCGCCGCCGCCGCCGCCATGAACGACGACGGATTTCCGGCTGAGAGATTGTTCAACCAAGGCTACTCCTACACTTACGATGATGTCATCTTTCTCCCTGGCTACATCGACTTCCCCGCCGACGACGTCAACCTCTCCACTAAGCTCAGCCGCAACATCCCCCTCTCCATCCCCTGCGTCGCTTCTCCTATGGACACCGTCACCGAGACCTCCATGGCCGTTGCCATGGCGGCGCTCGGCGGAATAGGTATCGTTCACTACAACAACACTATCTCTCAACAAGCATCCATCATCCGTGCTGCCAAATCTCATAAAATCCCTTTCTCCGCCGACTTAATCTTCGCTTCTCCCTCGGATTCAATCCATTCAGCCGATGAATTCGCTAACTCCCCTTGCATTTTCGTAACCGAGTCAGGGAACAAACAATCCAAACTGTTAGGATACGTGTCCATGAGTGATTGGGAGAACTTGAGCAATAAGGAAGCTAGAATTTCTACTTACATGAACACTTCTCCCGTTACTCTGCCTTCGAGTTATAATTTCAATGACGTGGCAGGCTACATGGCATCTAAAAATCTGGACTTTGTTGCATTAGTAAACGAGGAGGAGGAAAACGGGGAAGTAGTCAATTTAGTCACGAGTGCTGACATGGAGAGAATAAAGGGACTTCCGAAATTGGGTTTGCCATCTTTAGGGGAAGACGGGAAGTTTTTACTGGGGGCAGCGGTGGGGACGAGGGAATCAGATAAAGAGAGGCTGGAGCATTTAGTGAAAGAAGGGATTAATGCTGTGGTGATTGATAGCTCGCAAGGGAATTCGCTGTACCAGATTAATATGATCAAGCATGTGAAACATACTTACCCTCACTTGGATGTGATTGGTGGAAATGTAGTCACTAATTACCAAGCTGAGAACTTAATTAAGCAGGGTGTTGATGGATTGAGGGTTGGTATGGGATCTGGGTCCATCTGTACCACTCAAGAAGTTTGCGCTGTGGGTCGCGGTCAGGTGAATTATCTATCTCTTCATTAACCTGTTATTGTTGGAGGCAGCTGGTTTTTTGTTTTGATGATTGTGCTCCCGTCATTCCAATTTAAAATTTGCTGCATTGTTTGCTATGTTTGGTTATGTGATGTGCAGTTTTCTGAGTAGAAAATCTGGTGAATTATCTTTGAAGTGCCATTTCTTAGTAAAAAAAAATATGGTGCACTGAAGTGAGAGCACTGCAGTTTTTTAAGTCAAAAACTCTGGTGCAGTGAACTGATAGCAGTGCGGTTTTCTTTTTCTTTTTTTGTTTGTTGCAAATTTGAAGAGTACAGTTTTTAGCATTCAGTGTAGTTTTTTAGTGCAAATTTTAAGAGAATAGCAGTGAATGTTTCCTCATGCAGGGAAAAGATCTGATCTCTGAGCAAAGAAAAGGGAAAAGCATTAGATGTAAAGCCTCTTTTGAGAAATCTGTTAGATTTAGGTTTTCTACCAAATGTGTCATCGTTTTACCTACATTAAGGACTATATCTGTCAAGCATGATATATTAAGGACCAAAATAAAGCAACCCTGGATGTCATTAAGGACCATTTTGATAGTTTTCTTGATAAAAGAAAATGAAACTTATGTTCTCTGTCAATTTTGTTTAGGCAACTGCTGTTTACAAGGTGTCATCAATTGCTGAGCAGCATGGTATCCCTGTGATTGCTGATGGTGGGATTTCAAATTCTGGCCATATCGTGAAGGCATTGTCCCTTGGAGCATCAACTGTCATGATGGGAAGCTTCCTGGCGGGTAGTAATGAAGCTCCTGGCACATATGAATATAAGGTACAACAGGATTCTCGATGCTTTTATGCTATGTATGCAAAAAGTGTAGCCAACTCAAATATGTCCTTGTGCTATTGTTAACTTTGGTCAACTTTTGGGCAAGGATAGAATGGTCTGCGTGTGAAAAAATATCGAGGTATGGGATCCCTGGAAGCAATGACAAAAGGGAGTGATGCAAGATACTTGGGTGATACTGCTAAACTAAAGATTGCTCAGGGAGTTGTTGGTTCAGTTGCTGATAAAGGTTCTATTCTGAAGTTCATTCCCTATACAATGCAAGCTGTAAAGCAAGGATTCCAGGATCTAGGTGCTTCGTCCTTGCAATCGGCTCATCATCTTTTAAGATCAGGCAAATTGAGGCTAGAGGTTTGTCTCTTGTTATTTGTTGTATCTTTTGACTCAACTATTATTATATTGTTGCATGTTTGTGTTTTTTTTTTTCTGGGTATTTGAAAAAAACGAAATGAAACAGGAGAATCATCTTACTTCATAGTTCATGGGGACCTAACTTTTTTTGATTGTTAGTTCGTGGGGATCTGACTTTAACTCTCTTTTCTTGTTCTCCAGGTCCGAACAGGAGCCGCACAAGTTGAAGGAGGGGTTCATGGTCTCGTCGGTTATGATAAGAGATACTTCTGATTTAACTTTATTGGAGAGTAATGTAAGCAGTTACGCTTGATCCACAAATTTCTTGTTGTTAAACTTTACAAAACCTTAGCTGTGGTTGGCAGTCTAGTCAAATTTTGGGAATGTATGCTCCAAGTTTCTCTCTCTATTTATCAGTAACTATTGCCATATATGTCGAAAAGCATGCTGCAAAATCAACTTCTTGCTAATACAATATGCAAAATGGCAAATCAGATTGCATGAAGCTTCTAACTGTCAGTATAATATAACTCCATAAGATGGATTCGGAAAAGCTTCTTCCTTTTCATAATTAGTTTTAATAGTAAAACTTTATTGACAGTACGAGAAAATATCGGTAGCCATAGGGTGATGTGCCCGGCACATGGTGAATCTCCAATTAGCTTGTATTCCTAGCGAACCCTTTATAGTTTAGGCTTCTCTGGTATTCTTAGTGGAAGGGCTTACATTAATGATTTAATTTTCAATAGAAACCGGCAAATCATACAGAAGGGGTGCATGGCTGGTGATTTTGTCCTGATGAGCAGCCATTGCTGTAGTGGTCAAAGCCAAATTCTTCAATGTTTGTTCTAAATTTCTAGGCTTTTCTGAAGCTTAGAGTGAAAATGATAGGCAGTCTAGATCTTTCGCATTTTACTTTCTATAAAGCTTCCTCTGATATCAAGTTTGTATTTTCTGATATCTGCAATTCTGTTTTTGTTCTATACTTTGAATAAAAAACTCATCATGCTTTTACAGTAAGAAACGGAGGAATCGTATTGCATTTAGTGTTCCTTGTTCTTGAAAATCCTAGTAAGTTGCACCCTCCAAAGTATCAATCACTTAAGTTTCACTTAAGACAACCTCTTCATAAGAATAAAAATGATTTTCGATTAAATAGGAACGACATTGTCATTTTGTCTAATAATCATTGCAGTCTCGACTCTTGAGTGTGTGTATAATAGTCATTCAAAGGTCTAAAGTCATGATCCAATACCATTCATATGCTTCAGAGTAGTAAATTTGCGCAAATACAACAACAACATACCCGGTATAATCCCACGGGTGGGGATAACCCCACATGTGGGGAGAGTTGTAAATTTACGCAAATAAAATATGAATATCAAACAAATCATTAGTTTGTTTGCATAAACAGGAGTACAAAGATTTCACATCGTCATAGCAGTAATGTGAAACAAATGATGAATTCAGAAAACATGACACTCATTATTTACTGCAGAAAATAAGAAAAAACAAGCTGGTTGTTTTTTAATACTATCATTACTAGCTGCCTTTTGGATGGACCGTAAAGTAGGTTTGGATAGCTGATAGACCTGTACCAGTAACTTCCAAACCTATGACAAAAATTGCGGCAATAAATGCAAAAATAGTCCATGGATTATTAAAATGAGTGTTCTTCCACTCAGCAATCCATATTTTTCCTTTGTTATTGTAATGATTCTCAATTTTGTCTTTCACACCGACAAAGGCATGTGGATTAGGCACCAAATCTGTTGCTATTTCATTGAAGAGATCTGCTACTTCTTGGTCACTTCCAAGAAAGTTAAGAAGTATACCTTTTGATCTCAGCTCCTTCACATCTTCAGCATGATCAATTAGTGAATCCATAAAGCAAAGATAAGATGTAATACCAAAGTCATCTGGTGTATCAGGGCATGCCTCATATGCAACCAAGTTTAATAGCTCCGACTTGGTTGAATCATCTATAGTTATAGGTGGAAGTGTTAAAAGAGCTGAGAAACGGAATGAATTGAACCTAATGTCTGAAAGACAACGTCTCTTTCCACACTCGAAACGGATTCCTGCTTTCTTGAGCTCCATGGCTGAGCGATATGAGCACCACTCACCCCTCAGATAGCATCCGCCTTCTGAGAAAACATTTGGGTCTATTAGTTGCGTTCTTAATATCTCGAGCAGATGAGCAGGATTTTCTTCTTTGATCAGGTAAGGCCCTTCTCCTTCACAGATCTTTCCAAAGAAATCTAGAAAGAAATCCTTGATGCTTTGAATTAATCCATGATTTTGAGGGGGCTTTGCATGTGCACTCGAGATGAATGTTTTGATCATCCTCATTCCTTCATCTTTCTTGAACCTACAGCTCATTAACACATGCAGGACTTCAAAAGGTAACTGATTTTCAAGTAAGAAAAGATCACGACGAGTGAAAACTATATCATGGCTCTTCATTTGCAGCTGCTTATAATTGCCAGTGACAAGGCAGAGAATATATTGGAGGATGAAACAGCCATCCAGGAACATCATTCGTGCAAACTCCTCATTGCTGTAATCTTTAATTAAGTCCAGAGCATAACACTCCCTGACATTAGGCACAATGCTCTTCACCTTTTTGTAAAGCTCAGCAATGGACACTGAATTCGTTAAAAGCCGTGATAAGACCCCAGCAGATTTTGGTTCGGTGCTTTCTTGATCAGCAAACTGAATTGCCAGCATCTCCTTGTACTTCTCCATAGGTTGAAGCTTGGATTTTCCATGGTGAATTGGACCGAGAGCAACCACAAGAGGCTCATAACACCTTACGTTTGATTCAATCTCGCGATGCATTTTAGGGACCATGTGTATCTTTGGCTTCTGTGATGAACCAATGGTGGGGTACCCTCTGCTCTTCTCTAAGGATTTTAGCCATTGTCTCTCATTTTCACTGATTTCATGAGAATCTGAGTTTGACCCTTGAATTGTAATGTTCCATTCATCTTGATGATTGCCAATTTCTTCTCTAGTAATCATTGTTTCTTTAGTAGATTGTTTATCCATTTTTGCTGATTTCTCATCAAATTAAGAACCTCAATCTTGATAATTGTAATTTGTATACATTTGTTTAATCTACTTATAAGACTAGCTAGTGAAAGAATCAAAATTTTCTTTTACTTTAGGCAAGGTGGTTTCTCTTCTTTTACTTTAGGGAAACAACGAGGGTCTGATAGCACTTTGGATTGCCTTCAATCTGAAGATTGTGCTTCACCCACTATGCTTAGGCTTACTGTAGTGTCAAAGCCAAATTCTTCGATGTTAGTTCTAATTTTGTAGGCTTTTATGATACTTATGAGTATAAATGATAGGTATCCTGTAGGATCTTTACTTCCTATAATCTTCTCTCCAATATCAAGTCTTGTATATTCCGATGTCTCCAATTTCTTTTCTTTTTTGTCTCTTCGGGACATCCGGTAAAAAAAACAATTTTTTTTATGGTTTTATACTTAGCGTAAAATAAAGTGTCACTTTATTGTAGTGTCACTTACCCTAAAAGTGACACTAGTTTAAAAGTTTAACTATTATAAATATTTCACTTTTATTTAATTATTTCATGTACTTTCTTCTTTTTCCGGTGTCGGCATGAGAACTATTTTGTTGAAGGTCGTGACGGTGAAACTCGAATTCAAAACTCTATCGGCTTTGATACCAAATTTAATTGTGTGATCCAAGAACTTAAGCAAGGGCATCTTTACTTATTTATTGGTCTCAACAAATTCTTGGTACGGCAGGAATTAAAGTGAAAGCTGGATTAGTCTTTTCGATACCGTATGGTTATTGTATACCTCGAAAATACGAGTAATAATTAAATTTGATCTGTGGTTTTAAAGATATGTGATTTAGTTCAATATCAATTAATAATCAAGAAGTATAAAGTATAATGAAAGGAATGAATAAACCAAACCAGTGTTACTAAGCAGTATCCACCTCGAGATGAATCAAGAACAATAAAGCAAGAATAGTAAAGCTAAAGGACAATTCTGATGAACAATGAGCGAAAAGTAGAGAGTATATTCTTTGCCAATGATTAGATGATCCTTACAAATGATTGGGCTCCCCTTTATATAATAGGGGAGTCCTAAATAAGGTACATTTCTGTTTTTAGTAAGGAATCTAATTGGACAGCTGTCTAACCGCCTAGTACGAGTTCGTACAAAACTGTTCCGGAATTTATGTCTTGATCTTTGGGCCATTGCGAGGATCTCGCCTTTTCTGTTACAAAACCACAACGACATTATCTCGAGGCTAGTCACGCTCGGCCCTGATATTCATCGGACACTCTAATCTTCGAACTTCGAACTCTGCCATCGAGCTCGGACCCAATCTATTTCGGATTCGCTCTTGAAGTGATCCTCGAGCCTACAAGATCAGGTAGCCCCGATCTCTACCGTATACAGATAGTCCCCTCCTTTTTTGGAGTATAACAACAAGAAACGAATTGAGTCCTTGATCTTTACCCCGATTTGCCACGACATCATCACGGTGACGTAAGCGATTGAGAAACAAAAGCTGGGAAGCCGGCCTTTCCCGAGGAAGACTCCGAGAACTCTAGCGAGTCCAGCGGTGGAGAACATTCTGAGGGTGAAGACACTTTTGCCGATAAGGATCGTGTTGCTTAGGCTTCGTGTTCTTCGTAATTTTTCGCTTTTGAGGCTGATCGGCCCTTGCGAGGAACTCTTGATCGTGACCTATAGTCCCTGTAAAAAGGTTTATGCAAAGCCTTTTTCCTTCCATGGCTCCTGAATCTGCTACCCTTTTGTGCGGGCCAAAGCGCCTTAGCATAAAATTCCTTTTGAATGTCCAAAGTCTGAGATGGTAATGACCGACAATAAATACTGCCTTTGAACGTTTCTGATCAATGGACCCTGGATGACCATTTGAACTCGAGTTTGAGTAGCTCTTAGGCTCAACAGTCGGTGGGGTAAGGTAGCCTTTGGGATTTATAGTCGAGTGAAGATTTGCTTGAACTCGAAGTAAAGTTAGCCCTTGGGCTTTATAAATAGTCCCCGAGTGAAGATTTGTTCGAACTCGAAGTAAAGTTAGCCCTTAGGCTTTATAGATAGTCGCCGAGTGAAGGTTTGCTCGAACTCGGGTTAAGATAGCCCTTGGGCTTTTATGATCGAGTGAGGGTTTGCTCGAACTTGAGGTTAAGTTAGCCCTTAGGCTTTATCGATAGTCCCCGAGTGAGAGTGTTTGTCTCAAAAGTTATCGATATACTTTACAAGCTTAAAAACAATCAAAAGTAAGAAAGGGTAAATCGTAATCAAATATAATAGACCTAGAGATGAAAAATGAAGTTGTTGTTGTAGATCTAATAGTGATAATATGAACTCAAGAGAAAGTATTCGTTAGAGATAGCGATAGAGAGAGAGTATGAGAAAATGAGAGAGTTGTATTATTCCAGAATAATCCCCTCTTTTTACAATGTGAAGGTCTCCCTTGTATAATAAGAGACCTTCCTCGAAATAATCAAAAAATTACAAAAACAGGTAACGTTTTCCTAGTGAAGACACTGAGTCCTAAACGATGTCGCTTTTGTCCCCACGTCCGAGTCGTACCCTTACATTAGTTGGCATATACTCACTGGGCGTACCCATTGGCGTAGAGACGCTGACGGTCAAATTTGACCCTACACAGTTAGTCCCTCCGCTTGTTGGAGACGCATTCGGTGGGCGTCTTCAATGGGCGGAAATGCAAACCGCGGGTTAGGAGAATTTGACCTCGACCAGGGGCGGCAACATGAATGAGGTAAAATGTATGACGTTGTTGAGTCACTAACGCGTGGCTTTCTTTTTGGAATGACGTCATCGCCTGTATGCATCATTATTATATTTGCCCCCGAGGCGGTTCAGAGGATGATGTGACATTTTGGTTTCCCGCGCACGTTTTGAATCATGACTCTTCGATTTTTGCGCAACTTATCCCTATAAATAGGAGAGAGGTTCGATTCGATTCAACTTTCAAACCTTCGGAAAGCATTTTCTGATTTACTCCTTTGTCTTTCTTTCCTGTAACCGTTATTTCGTGTGGGATTCCTCCACTTCTTTTGAAGTCATATTTCTCGTCGTTAGTGCATAATTTCCCAAACAGAATCATCATGGTAAAACGTAGTCAAGGTGGTAAAAAGACCAAGGACACTGACCCATCTAGGGTTCCGCCTTCCTCTGGCGGTGAGGGGGAGGAAGTAAAAAAGACCCCCGTTCCCCTTTCTGTAGACAACGTCCTCCCAAAGGACATGCATATTCGAAGGGATTTTCAAACGAAAAGTCCAGCCCTTCCCTGGGAGCGTAGCGATTTACTGCAATCTCATCTAGACGACCTTCGAGTGACACACAACATTCCGGACCATGTGGAAATGGCTCCGGCTGGGATGGACTACTCCAATGTGCACAGGCCTAGGTACTGCACATTTTACGAGTACCCGTTTTTGATCGGCTATAGTCTCCCGATCTTCCCTCTAGCGGAGGAGCTTTGCTGCTTTTACAATGTGTGCCCGGCTCAGCTTACTCCTTACACCTTGAAGGTGTGCAGGATTCTGACCACGTACGCGGCTAAGGCTGAGTGCGGCGTCTCAGTTCACCATCTCTTACAGTTATTCAGCCCTGGTTACCTGAGGGGTACCATGTTGCAATTGAAAAGCCGTGGTACGAAGGGTTTGGTAGTTAGGGCTAACGACAAGGCCAACCGCCTCTTCTGGCGTAGGTACTTCTACATCAGGACGGAGCACCTGGTGTCGAAGCCTGAAGGATTCCCGGAAAGGTGGAACCCAGATCGTGAGTACCTTTATTTGCAGGATTCATGACTGTTTGCGACCTTGACCATTTGGCGCTCCAGAGGTTCCTCAGCAAGAAGCTGCGCCTATGGCGGCGTCTGTAGGTGAAGCGACTCCTTCAGTGCCGTCCCCGCAGCTTACGGAGGAGACTTCCGAAGGTGAGGAGCCGCCAGAGAGAAAGAGGCGGCGGTTGATAACGGGCAAGGGGATAGCGATTGAAGACGAGAGGGTAGGTGAACCTCGTCAAGTATCGAGGCCGATTTTTATGGCCGATGCTATCCGTTCTGGGAGGTCGGCTCCACAAAGGAGGGCAGTTGCCGATGCCAGCCCAGCCCGTGTTCTGGAGAGCGGTTCGTCGGCCGCTATTGAAGAAGTGGGCGATGGTGTCGCGAGGGCGGATACTGAGGCCGCCCGTGGAGATACAGATGGGTTGACGAGGGGTCCAACCCACGTGGAGATGACGGTGGGTAGGTCTAACCGCCGAATCATGATCCCAGGAGGGTATAACCTGTTGCAACACAGCCAGTAGGCTGCAGCGGATATGACTGTGAGCACGTGATTTTTGCCCTACATATGAATTATTCCCAAAAATTCAAAAAAAAAATGAATTTTTATTTTTTTTACAATTTTTATGAATTTGGTGTCATTTTTGGTAATTGTTGCATTTTATCCGTGCATCTTAATTCGTATGAAAAATACAAAAATACGCATTTGCATATAGGATCTAATTTCATATCTTAGGATAAATTAAGGGTTAATTTGTTTTAGAACAAAATAGGAAGAAAATAACAAAAATGGTACTTTTCGCATTTTTAGTTTAAATTTGTATTACATTGCATTTTAATTAGGAATTAATTAGGAAATCTAATTTTTAGTGTCAATTTGGTTGTGAGTTCTATTTTAGCCTTTTTATAAAATCAGCAAAAAGTAAAAAAAATAAATAAAATACAAAGTGAAAACGTAAGTGCAAAATANAGGTAGCTTTCAGTTTTCTCTGTGTGCCGTAAGGCTAACTGTGATGCGTACTGACCTGCCTTTCCTCTTTTTCTTCTCCTTTTTAGACTCTCATTTTGGAGGTGGAGAGGAGGCGGCGGGCGCACAAGAAGGCAGCCACTTTCAACAAGATGGCGAAGAAATACCAACGGTGCCGCACCAAGCATCGGGCGCTGGCGGACCTGCTCAAGCAGGACCCGGAATTTCGGGTATTTCGTGAGGTGCTCGAACAGTCGGAGGCCCAATTGAAACGGAGGGTGGCCGAGCTGGAGCAGGTCGACGAGCAGTTGATGACTGCTCTGGCTCCGAACATTGAGCTGGAGACTCTTCTCCAGTCTAAGGAAGAAGAG